CTATCAAAAGTGAGTTCTCTGCTGCATATCTAATATATATGTATATATATCACATTTTTTGAGAAAACAGAGGAGGATGTTCCTAACAACTTGAATCTCCAAAATCATGTTACAAATAGCTCCTGTAGTTCCAGAAATGTGACATTGGAAGAATCCTGTTTACTCATCATGTGGCTACTGTTTTTGTTTCTACTGCTTCATATTTTTAATAATATATTAATCCCCTTTAAAAGGAAATTGTGGTCCCTCCTTCAAAGCAAAACCCTAGAAGAAGCATTGATGTCTCCTACCTCTCATGAAAACAGCAAGATTACTTAGACAGGTTCCCAGGCATTTTAACACAGGCATGGAGCAGTTGTTGGAACAGAAGTCACAGGGAAAAACAAAACAATGGAACCTCCACAATATACAGATATTCTCACAAACACACATCCTATTGTCAGGAGAAGATTCTGAGTTACAGAGACAAGAGCTGGAACCCAGGACATTACTCTGTGTCTCTCATAAAACAGGCCCCTCTGAATTAATAAAAAGAGATGCAAATTCCATCAAAGAATTGTCTCTTTGTGGCTCCTTCTGGCCATTGAAGAGGTAGAAAGAATCGTGCATTCTAGGATGTCATCACACAGGGAAAGGGGCTGTCATTGTCCCCAGATAATTAATGAAGGAAAGATTTCCCTTTGAACTTCATCGTGAAAAAAAAGAACAGCTTGGAAAACTGATTCTCCAGGCCATGCTGTATGAAGTCCCTCTGCTCAGGGTGGGGAAGCACCTTCAGAGGAACAAAGGAGCCTGTGAAACACGGCAGGTTTTTGTCTCACTTCCCCATGAACTTGCACCACTGTGCGAGTGACACTGCTCGAATATGAGCAACAGTAATAATCAGCCTCGTCCTCAGCCTGGAGCCCAGAGATGGTCAGAGAGGCCGTGTTGCCAGACTTGGAACCAGAGAAGCGATCAGGGATCCCTGAGGGCCGATTTGTCACATCATAAATCAGCAGTTTGGGTGCTGTGCCCGGGCGCTGTTGGTACCAGGAGACTTCATTATAACCTCCGACATCACTGCTGCTTCCAGCACAGGAGATGGTGACTGACTTTCCAGGAGAGCCAGACACTGAGGGAGGCTGAGTCAGGGCAGACTGGGTCCTGGAGCCTGAAGAGAGCAGAAACACATTCTGATGAGTTCAGTGCTGGAGCCCAGGAGGGCCTGGGGAGAGAAGACAAAGGATCAGCCCTGAAGTCTCTTAGGCCCCTTCCCCGGAGGCCTCACCTGTGCCCTGAGTGAGGAGGGTGAGGAGGAGCAGAGCCCAGGCCATGGTGCAGATGCCCCCAGAGTGCTACCTTGTGAGCCCCCAACCCTGGGCCTGGCTCCCCTAGTCTTCTCTTATCCCCTCCCCCTGCCTCAGAGGAGGGAGGGGCCTCCATGCAAATCTGCTTCCTGCACCTGTGTCTACTCACCCCACTGAGACCTGGCCATTAATCTAGAGGATTCTGCATCACAGGACAGCAGAAGTAACCTGAGAGAATTAGAATCTCTTCAACATAATTTTTCTGAGTTATGACACACTGTGAGCATTATTGGAGTGCCCAGGAAATGAAGCAATCCTTGAATGTCCCTGTATTGTGGGAATTAAGGTGGTTCTTGGCTTTGGAATCCAGGGGCCTGTCCTCCAAGATGTCTAAGAGGAGAGTGAGGACAGGCTCTTTGGTTGGCTATTAGAAACCCAATCACTCTGCTACCCAAGGACCACAGGGAAAGCTGGGATATCCTAATCTTTTCCAATCTTTTCTTCATGCTCCTCAGTGGAAGTGATTCTCATGTATCCCTTGTCCCAATCTCAGCAGTGTCTCAGGTCCAAGGACATTAATTGATATTTCTAAAACTAGAAATATTGGGACACAACCGATACAGGACATTCATGAAAGACCCACGTAGGAGGATCCCAGGGTAGGCACCTATGTAGATTTGGTACAGGTCAGGGTAAAACCACAGCAAGTATCTTCCCCAAATGTAGACAGTGCTGCCCCCTGGTGGTCACAGATGGTGCAACCAAAGCACCAAAAAGCAAGCTGATTGGGAGCTGGAAAACCCTGCTCAGCTCCCTACATGTTGTCTTCCCTTCCTACCTCAGCACCAGGACCATGGGTTTCTCTTAAATCCACCCAAACTCATTCCTTTTGTCTCCATCTTCCTTTAGAATGGAATGTGTCAAGTGCCAAAGCAGGTGGCCCAGGCCATCTGCTGGGGACNGAACCACTGGGGCACAGGAGATACCTAGTTAACAGGCTCTTTCTTGCCTGATGTCCTCTTATTGACCACACTTGATTCAAGTTAGGCTAAGGCAGCTTTCTAGGATTTCCCTCCTGGAGCACTTTTCTCTGTCTGAACCTCTTGGGCAGGAAAGACGGGAGGGCCAAAGTTTCTTTGTGTGTCTTGTTTCTTAATGAACAGCTTAAAATCAATACCCCCCAAAAGCAGCTTCAGGGTGGTAAGATTGTGGTTCCCTTCACCCTCTCCAGTAATTTTCTTGAAGGTCTTCCCAGCCTTCCTTCCCCCAACACACCAGGGGAGAATCTTCCCCCAAACTGGTACCTGGAAATGTAGACCCTGAGATGGTGCTTCCCACCCCCTTTAAGGTCCTGCTTCTCCCCTGAACTTTGCTGACTGTCTGTCAGGACATAGAATCCAGCCCTGATTTCTCTCTAAAACTTTCCTCTGCTGACAGCCAATAACAGCTGAATTTATAGGCACTTAGGGTGAATGTGTTTTGTGCACATGTGTCTACACCAGGAGGTCTTTCCCCAGGAAATCTCAGTGTAGGATGATGAGCAGAGTCCCCTGATGGGGTCTAGGACCTGGTACTATCCTGACTGTGTCACTTTTTAACTCTGTGATTGGGGCAGCTGAAGTGACCCTTCCCTCCTATACCTCAGTGTCCTGGACAAAGAGAAAGTATGTTACCGCACTAAAGGTCTGGCTGCTCACCACGCCAGAACTCGAGAGATGAGGTTGTTGGAAAGAAAAGCAGGTGTATTCAAAATCCTGGCATTCTGGGAGGATGGTGGACTCCTGTCCAAAGGCCATCCCACCCCATTTCCCAGCATGGCCAAAGGTTTTATAGGCATGGAAGGGGAGGCAGAACCAAGAAAAGGGGAAGTTGGTCAGGCAATAGCTGGAAAAAGGCACTTCCAAGAGGCTGCTTTGTTTAAGGGATAGGAGTGGATCTTAGGCAGATGTAAGAACTTCTTCCAAGTCAAAGTTCTGGAGGTTTCCTTGAGGAACCAGGGTCACTGAGCCGGGTATTCTTAATGTCTGGAGTAAATAGAACCATTGAAACTAGTATGCATAATAAATGAATAGTAAACAGTGTCATTAAGGTTTGGCAGGAGAGAGAAAAACAAAGAAAATTAAAACTTTCAAAAAGTCCCAAGCTAAACTACCCTGTTAAATCGAATGACGCTAGAGGCTTAATCTCAAAATAGAAGATACAGTGTCACCATTACAGAAGGAGGACATTAAAGTAAATATATATAATTATTCCTCTGCTTACAATGGGGTTACATCTCAATAAACCCATTGTAAGTTGACAATATCGTAAGTCAGAAATACAAATACATCTAGCCTACCAAACATCACAGTTTAGCCTAGCCAGTTTCTACTGAGTGCATATTGCTTTTGTACCTTCGTGAACTGAAAAAGTAGTAAGTAGAACCATCTTACATGAGGGGCCATCTGTATGTACACACATCATTTTGTAGAGTGACACTGTAATTTCTAGTTTCAAGATTTAACAGTCTAGTTTAGTTAGATTTGACAATGTAATTTAGCTTTAAACTTTTTAAAACTTGTTTTGCCCTCTTTTCTTTACTTCCCTCCCCTCCTACCAGCTTTAATGACCCTGTTTACTCACAGCTGTATGCATACTTTGCTAATCTGCTAACCCTGCAACACACTAAGTAGAAAGAAGCTTTTATAGCCCTTCAACATCTGCATAAGATCCACTCCTACAACAGAGACTGAGATAACCTTATCCCTGCAACTACCCAGATTCTGGGAAACACCTTTTTTTCTTCTTCGAACCTCACCCCCCATTCTCTGAAAATTGCCACGTCAATCCCTCTTTCCTTTGTTCTGCATCTTCTTACATGTCTTGAAAACCGTTTGGCCATCCTGGGAATGGAGAAGATAGCCTCGGGGCATGAGCCACCATCCTCCTGGAATGCTGAGATTTTGAATAAAACTCCTTTTCTTTCCACCAGCCTTGTGTCTCAATTAATAACTCATGAGTGACAAGCAGCCAAACCTGGGTTTAGGTGACAATTTTTCATTAATGTGTCTCATTATTTAGTTTATTTCCAGACATGCTTTCCGCACCCAAAACTAGGCTCATCATCTTCATAGTTTCTGAGCATTCAACCTTTCTTCCTACTGAGCACCATGGGTGGCACAAACAGAATTCTATCCTTCCCTCCTTCCTGCTTTTCTTGTGCTCTTGTCACCTCGATATAAGTGACGGATCCACTGGCTCAACTCAAGCCTTCAGGATCTTCCTAGCTCTCATCNTTCCCCCTGCTGCTATTGTGATGAAGCTGAGGCAAAAGCCCCTTCCTGCCCTTTCAGCATGTCCAGGGCACCTCCTGACAGCAGGTGGGAAGGAAGGAAAGGATGATGCACCTCAGTGTGGAATGCTTTGGTGAATTCAAAAGGAAAGAGTGTTGCCTTGGCTGCCTTTTAAAGAACTCCCTAGGAGTTAGTTTTTTAATGGGATGTGATAGTTTAAGCATAAATACAAATTTTTTTAAAAATTAAAAAAAAAATCATTTCCCTTGGTCAAAATACAGAAAGACTCTTACTTCGCTTTTGTTTACTGCTGTTACATTAGAAGACTTTAAATTCTCATTCTATCCTTTCAAAATTCATGTAAATCTTTTTAAAGTTAAATAGTCCTCTTCCCACATTAACAACTTGGAAATGTCTTTCCCTTTGAAACTGAAACATGAAGGAAGCTATAGTGTGGCATCTCCCAGCTAGTACTGGAGGGTAGGGGCCTCACTTCATTGAGAGCCTGGCTCCAGGTAGAAACATACCTGCTGTCATAAAGATCTCAGCTCGTTTTTCCTTTGGAGAAAGGCAAGTAGCAATCATAAAAGGTCACCCCACTCACCATATGAATTTAGGAGGAGCTGTGTCTGGAAAATGGTGCTGGCAATCTTTTTACTTGAGGACAAGGAATAGTTCACCTGAAGAACATGTATAGAGTGGGTTGTATGTCTTTACTCTACACAAGGGTGAGATTCCTTTATGTCTTTGCAAACCCTTTAGTGGATTACCTGTCATGCTCCTCATGCTTTGGTTTAATGCTTTTTTAGTAATAAAATAATTTCCTGTTTCTTATACTTTTGTGAAGAGGTTTTCCAGGCTGGCAGGAGATTTTATTTTTGAATTCCACTTGCCATCAGTGTTGATGATAGGATTTCCACTTCCTATCATCTAGGAAGATCAGTCAGCTGTCAGGTTCTAAGGGATGAGAAGATAGATAGCAACGCGGAGATGAGTCTGTGGTGAGAGAGGACACTGGGTTCTCAGGGAGACTTGGTCTCACTTCTCATGAATGTGGACACTGGGCTAAGTGCTGCTGTCCGAACATAGATTACAGTGATATTCACCTCAACTTCTGCTCCAGCCTTTGATGCTCAGGGAGTCCGGATTATCTCACTTGGAGCCTGAGAATTGAGCTGGGCCCTGAGATCCTAAAAATAACTCTAAATCAACAATTTGAGGCTGTTAGTGCTGTTGGGACCAGGAGACATGACTATAAATCCCTATGTCACTGCTGCTTAAAGCACAGAAGACCGTTTGTCCAAGAGCCCTGCACAAAGAGAGAGGCTGAGTCAGGACAGACTTGTCCCAGTATCCTGAGAGGATGGAGCAATGCACAGAGGAATGAGGTCAGAGCCTGGCCTTGAGGGACGCAGGAAAACAGTAAGAGAAGTGAAAGAGCTTGAGAAGGAACAGCCCACGCACCAGAAGACTTCCTCTTTGGGAACCTTCACCTGTACATAGAATGAGAGGGGCGAGGAGTGGACCCCAGGCCAAAGATGCCCCAGAGACCCCAACTTTGGGACAGGACACTCAAGGCTGCCTTATCCCCTCCTCATGTTCTGAGATGAAGTGGGGGTCTCCATGCAACAACGCTCCTGAACCCCACCTCCAGGGCTTGTGGGTAAGCCGTGCTCTGGGCATGGCCTTCTGCTCAGGTGAGGAGGAAGTTGGACGTGTCAGTGTGGTCCCTTTTGAAAGTTTGTCTCAGCTGGCCATGCATCACCCCTGTGAGGCTAAAAAGAACTGATAGTTTAC